AAAATTTACTTTTCGTCGCCGTTAAATAATTTTTAACACAAATTATCAGAACCATATCGAATTAAAATTAGTTTAGTTGTTTGATTGTCCATCTCCCTTCTTTCCATTGAAGGCGATGTTACCTACGTCTTCTATATGAATGCCACAAAGTATTATTCGGCAAACAAGAAATGCATCGTATGATATAACATAACATAACATAACAAAACATAGTGATGTCGGCGCTGAAGTGTAGGCCTGATGTGGCCTGTCGCCGATTCTTTTCCTTTTCGTGCGAATTCTTTTCCTTTTCGTTTTCCTTCGTTCATGAAACTATGAAGTCTGGAGCGCTGGCGTGTGTGCAAAGAAGCGTCTTGTTTGTTTTGCACAATGAAAGTTACGTGGAAAACCACTCCAAATACAGCAGGGCTCCCAGACAGTGTAGTTTGCTCAAGCAAAGGGGAACTTTTTTCGTATCGATGTATGCGCGCAGTGATACGAAATTCGGTGCGTGCCAAATTTGGTGCGTGGCTTCATTTATTAAAACTTCGATATACGTAAATTATGGGGCTTTATTAAAATAGCTATATAATGAAGTTATTTTGTTATATGCGCGCACACTGATATGAAATTCGGTGCGTGCCAAATTTTTATTCCTTTATCCAAGTGATAAAATTTTCTAAATAATTCAAGCAAAGGTTGATAATCAGATATATAATTGTTTCGTGCTGGAATAACTGTTTGATATCCGTAGAAACAAATTCAAAAACCAAAAGTTATCATAAATGATAGTCCCCCATTACGGTTCCAGAACTATAGGTGCCATAAATGATCGTACCCCATTACAGTTTCTGAACTGTAGTTGCCATAAATGATCGCACCCCATTACAGTTCCTGAACTGTAGTTGGCATCATTGATCGTACCCCATTACAGTTTCTGAACTGTAGTTGCCATAAATGATCGTACCCCATTACAGCTCCTGAACTGTAGTTGGCATCAGTGATCGTACCCCATTACAGTTCCTGAATTGTAGTTGTAAATGATCGTACCCCATTACAGTTTCTGAATTGTAGTTGTAAATGATCGTACCCCATTACAGTTTCTGAACTGTAGTTGCCATAAATGATCGTACCCCATTACAGTTCCTGAACTATAGTTGTCATAAATGATCGTACCCCAAATTACAGTTTCTGAACTGTAGTTGTCATAAATGATCGTACCCCATTACAGTTCCTGAACTACAGTTGCCATCAATGATCGTACCCCATTACAGTTTCTGAACTGTAGTTGCCATCAATGATCGTACCCCAAATTACAGTTTCTGAACTGTAGTTGCCATCAATGATCGTACCCCAAATTACAGTTTCTGAACTGTAGTTGTCATAAATGATCGTACCCCATTACAGTTCTGAACTGTAAGTGTCATAAATGATCGTACCCCAAATTACAGTTCCTGAACTATAGTTGTCATAAATGATCGCACCCCAAATTACAGTTCCTGAACTGTAGTTGGCATAAATGATCGTACCCCATTAAAGTTCCTGAACTATAGTTGCCATAATTGATCGTACCCCATTACAGTTTCTGAACTGTAGTTGCCGTAACTGATCGTACCCCATTACAGTTCCTGAACTATGGTTGCCGTAAATGATCGTACCCCATTACAGTTCCTGAACTATAGTTGTCATAAATGATCGTGCCCCAAATTACAGTTTCTGAACTGTAGTCATAAATGATCGTACCCAAAATTACAGTTCATGAACGATAGTTTTAAAACCTTGTTACAAATCCAGGCAAATATGTCTCGCACATTGAGATCGACTCTTGGATCAGTTAGGGGCTTCATGGAACAGAGAATTCATCCTTGCACTGGGACTTTGTCCTTTAACGAACAAAGGAAACGTCCATCGTCGTTTAACGCATGCATATTGATGCTTACGTTTGCATGCTATACGGCACTTCCTGCCTGATTGCTATAAGCTGGGTATATTTGCAACGTATTTTTTGACGTTTTTGCGTGATGAGTATTGCATGAAACCGAATATTCATTCGCATGATATTTTCATTCATGTTTTTAAAACTTATCTAATGGAAAATTCAGTGTTTTTTCTATGAACTCTCAACTGGAATATATATTTCTTGGAGAATTTATACTTAATATTACCAAAAATTCTAAGAAAAACTCAGACGGCAAAAATTATGCCAAAAATCTGTGTAATGATATTTAATCTCATCGTTCCGTGATCGATCTCATATATTTGATGTTAATTTTTTAAAATGATAAATTTGGTGTAAATCTAGGCTGATATCATGAAAATTACGAGTAGTATATTAAGAAACTATCGCTTGGCTCCCTCTCATTTACTTTGAAGGTATTCACATTACCGTTGCATGTTTTCACTTTAAAAATTACACCAACGAATAGGTTTTTCAATTCTAAGAATACTTTTAATTCTCATTTGCGTTTGAATTTATGATAGTGTGGTCAAAAATTTCAGAAAACTAAAAGTGATTTAGATATGCTGCTTTCCATTTCATCAATATACCTGAAAAAATTGACAAATTTTACAAAAGCGAACACACTTCCTTCCATAAAACTTGAATCACAGCGATCCGAGTACTGCCATGCAAAAAACAGCTTCCTGGTCACTGTTTCTCTTTGTAAACAATTTTTGCCTCATGCCGGCCATAGTTTTTGCTACATGCTTTCACTTTCGGTTTGATTTTGCGGCCATAGAAAGATGGTATCGCGGCGTCAGATTTTGGGTTCTTATTTCTCGGGGCCTCAACTTCTGCTTGAGCTCCATAAAATTGCAGAGCACAAGACTCGCTTTTGAGGTCTTTCAAAAAGAATGAAATTCACTCTCTGACTTTCGAATGTTGAAATAATCGAGAAATGATGACTGCTTTCAGAATTTATTTAGATTTTCTCGCATGAGATGTGTTCGCGAAACCTATTGTTTGACATATTACTTCCGATGAAATTTTTTTGATTCGAAGATTTGTGCGTGAAATTAGCGCTATAAATTTGAATATTTTGATAGAAGTTAGTAGCTTGAATGTCCACAACATGTTTAATCTACTTTTGAATGATTTTTCTACCCAATGCTGCATCGTTTGATTTTGGTTTACTATAATATTGCTGCATGAGATATTTCACTTGTACACAATATCTATCAGAAAAGATAAATTGAAAACTGTGCGTTACCGGAGGATTTATGGTGTTACGCCACAGCGAACGCAATCTTGTGCTCCAGTTTAATCAATGGGAACGAAGTGTATATTTCCATACATGCGTTTTTTAGGAGACTGACTCCGGTCACTCTGCTGATGCAAAGCAGACGAAAAAGCGTAATTGTGTGAACGCTTTTTCTGAGCTTTTGTTGATCATAATGCGTGACGACGGCCCCGCCTCAGGGCAAGAAATTAGCTTTTGATTAGATTTGCCGAATGATTAAAAAAAATTGAATGTGGTCAATTTTGATCTGTTAAACACAATCACACTAATATTTTTGTCTCCTTGGATGAGCATGAAATATGTAATATACTAAAACACTGGTATAGCTCATTTACATAAAACGGGAGCCATTCTGCTCACCCTTGAATATTGGATAAATTTGCTAGTGTAACCTTTCGTTAACACAGTCCAAGTACCAGTGTGAATGTACATTATTTCTTCGATAAATTCGGTATAGAGGTGTGCCATTAAGGGCCATTCATTTAAATATCACTGAAGGCGGTCCCTCTTTAGCAAAGCGTGCTTTCTATAGCATCAAGCGTACTGAGCAAGATCATCGGGTCGACGATCTTTTGAACTTTCTTTTGCAATGAATGAACACTTCGCACAAAATCTTGACCGATGGTCAACCAATCCCTGATGCAATGCCATAATTTACGCACTAATGAATACTGCTTGAACCGCTACGTGTAAAGGTTAGAGTCACTTCTATGTAACTGATGTGGGTTACGAATGCACGTTCGACCAGGGGATCGCAAATTAAACTTAAATTAGACCATTTTTAGACTGAAACGAAATTGGATTAGGGCTTTGAATAAATTCGGACCGTATCATAAGCAGGTAAAGATTATTTTTGTACTTCACTGTTTCAATTTCATTTGCTTTTAAATCATTGAATCACTTCATTATTAGTGTGAACTCGTACAACTATAGTATTCATTTGAGTTCACTTTATTTTGTTTTGCTGGAATATTTAAAAATAAGTTTCCCAGTGATTATATAATAGTCTTATAACAGTTATATCCAGGGCAACGTAGGGGAACATTAAGGGAAAATACTGCATTACATTTATATTCTCCAAAATTTTACAGTAAACAAAGCGTACAACATTCCATTGTATCTAACTTTTTTTAAACAAATTCTTGTGTTTTTCGGCTTCCCATTCATTTCTTATTGAAGTCCTTTGGCATGTCTTTCATCTCAGCATAGATCAGGAGTCTCAACGCTCAGTATATAGACAATGATCTTTTAGGAAGCGACAATTAAAGAATGAAAATAAAAAAAATTGAAACAACTCACTGAATGATCGCTTCATAAATCCTCATAACAGAATCGAAATATCTGCGTTGAATTCTTCCCTCAATTATAATGTCTTTTGACAAAATTCAGATAATTGCTTTTGATTCGCCTCTCACTATATAAAATATGTTGAACTTTCCTACCTGTGTTGAAGCCGAAGCTAAAAATTCCTTTGACAGCATCGAAAAAAAGCAGTGAATTGGTTAATTGAAAATTCGATTGAGGCAATTTAATAATTTGAATTATATTCATCCCTCAATTCAAAGTTCAAATAACTGAAATTGTTTCGTTTATTCGTCTGTGTTCAGTAATTTTCGAAATTGCACAATATTTTTACAGAAAAAATTTTTGTTTACAAGTTTCGGTACGACGCTTTTGTTGGTGATAAGCGCTAAAATTTTTGAATAACATTGTAGGGCAAATTTCTCTGTTAAGTACTTATTCGATTTATGTGCTAAAACTAACACAATTTTTTTTCAACAGCGAATGAAACAACTACGACCACGACAACGAACCTCTCTAGCTTTAAAAACTAATAATTATAGAATTTAACGTAAAATACGATCTGTAAAACGACCTAGGATACAAATAAAGTTATGGCAAAAGTTACGAAAAACCGACGCCAGGGGGCGTGCTTACCGCCTTACCTGCTGCTGCTACTGGAGGCCCTCGTGCTGAACCTGGCTGCGGCTAAGCCTATGGACCGGGAAAGAATCAATCCACTGCAGCTGTCCACCTTCAAGGGATATCATTACGATTACAGTCTAGGAAACAATGGAGTTTACAAGTAAGTATCTAATTTATTTATGGACTATTAGTCATATTATTTTGAATCCACTGCAGCTGTCCACCTTCAAGGGATATCATTACGATTATAGTCTAGGAAACAATGGCGTTTACAAGTAAGTACCTAATTTATTGACGGAATATTAGTCATATTATTTTGAATCCACTGCAGCTGCCCACCTTCAAGGGATATCATTACGATTACAGTCTAGGAAACAATGGAGTTTACAAGTAAGTACCTAATTTATTGATTTGCTATTGGATCGATAAGTTGGCTCGTAATTGAGAGGTTTACACATCACATTGTAATTTAATCATATTATTTTGAAAATATATTGTTACGTATTATTTTATCTACCATAACATTATTCAAAATTATTGTGGAAGACATAACCATAACCATGCATATGCTTATGGTCAGCTAGTACTGTTTGTGGATCAACTAAAAGTTTAATGGACGTTCATTACTTATCACTGTTTGATGGTGAGTACTTCACAGCTTATAGGAATTACGAGTAGGTGCGCTGGGTGGATATTTAAATTTCAATTGAATGCAAGAGGTTAACATAGATTACGCTTTAATCAATTACTGAGCATTAACATTCTTCTTGATAATTTAACACGTTATTAAACACCATCATCTGCAGATATTAGTTTTTCGCTGCTTCAGGTCCGCTTCACACTGTTTTAATACCCCTTGAGAGTCACATCTATTCAAGGTCTAGAATGATTCTGAACAAACGATGGAGTCACGATACGCTAGCTAGCGCACTTTGTTTAATGGCTGGCATTACGCGAACATGACTCAGACGCTTCTATTCTGGGGCAGCCCTCCGTCTATATGAAGGCGATGCCTAAGCCATGTTCCATTCATCGCCGTACTTGGAGAAGGAATATAAAATTTATTTTCAACACTCTTCTTCTCCAATACCTTTGCCGAAAAGGGTTTCCGTCAAAAATCAACTAAAGCGTGTTTGTTTATTTTTCTATGAGATTTATCGAGCCGAATTAAGGTTAAGGACTAGGACGAGCCAACCGCCTTGCCCATATCTAAGGGCGCTGGCCTCGATGCGTATATGCTTGCTCGGCCCATCCAAGTTATTGCTTTAAAGTCGTAAGAGTTTGCGTAAGAAGTTGTAAAGATCAGTATAGTAGCCCACTCATGTTGCCTTTGCGGTTGCCGCGATCTTTATGGAGGAGACTCCCCTCCTCGCCCTGATTATAATAGAGCAATTCGCTGGTAGTTTTTAAATTGGGAATCTGATCATTTTTTATGAGGTTTATTATTTGCCAGTTAAGCTTTGCACGAGCTCATATGCAGACGAAAATATTCAAATCAGCAATTAATGCTTATATAGCAGAAGCAGCAAAAATACTATAAGAGGCAGAGCATTTATTAAAGTGACTTAATCTGAAACTTTGTGGTTAAAACCTCGATCAGCTCTTACACGAGACTACATTGAAGTAATTATATTTGCGCGCCATGGACGTTCTAATGAGTCCAGTAGCGTACGGCGCTAAGTATTAGGTTCGGGATGATTTTTCTTTGTAATACATGTTAATGAAAATTGTATACCTTTTAGTTATTTTATTCAACTAAGGCCAGATTACTTGGCCACACGCTCGTAGAGAATAAATCACGAATCCATGCTTAGCAGTGAACCTAATTCAAATTGTAAATCGTTTTACTTGTGATTTCGTTGTCTATTACCTCAGATACTACAATAAAGCTCTTAATTAACAACCAAAGTAAGTTCCTATAGAAAGATCCTTCACCGAGAAGAAAATTAGTGCACGTATCAATCATGTATAAATTTTTTCTCAGTTTCAAATTTTTTAACAAGTCTGCCAAATTTTCACCACAAATAAATTTCCCCACTTGATGGTGCAATCGATGATTAATTTATAATTCTAATACGTTGCACGTTCCACGGTGAATTGAATTTCGTAAAAAGTGACCCAGAATATTTTCAAGCAATGACAAATGCATGGAATTCATATGAAAAGATTTCAGGCGAACTAAAGGCGGTATATAGAAATCAATTTATTCAATTTAAATTTTACATTTTATTTTTTTTTCTCGGATTGTACAATGTAAGACCATTTTATTTCAGTTATTTTTTGCAAACGGGTTTGACGAATACCTAATAAAGAATTTTCACAAGTTTGATAAATTTATTTTTCTTAATTACGGAATGTGGCTGCATTGAAATGACATTTAGTAAATTTCAAACATTTTAAAACTGATATTCGAATTAATTATCGATGCTCTGGGTTTTTTATTCAAACGTCGATAATTTGTCAAATACGGATCGATGAAGTTAAAATGCTTCATGCATTAAAAGTTTTGTCTATCCCCTGTTACTCGTTACGTGAGAAAAATGAAGATATTCGTTGATATTGTCATTGGTTTACTTCCATTACCTTTTCTAAAATCACTGAAATAACGCAAGTCATTTGGCATCAAATGGCCTTATAAGTAAACACTAGATAACACCATTCACAGCTCATTACCTCAACACGATGACAACGGCAAGAGTAATCGCAGAACAGTTATTGAAAAAGAACAGTTCTCGTTTACGATCAAACTAAGCTCTCTCATCGACAATATAAGCACGTAAATAAAGACAATAGATTCCTATGCATGCACCACCATAACATACAACGATCAAACTAAGCTCTCTCATCGAAAATATAAGCAAGTGAATCCAGACAATAGATTCCTATGGAACTTCAATATTCAGACAAATCCTAGCATGCAGATTGAGATTGTACATAAAACTTATATTAGGCCTTCATCCATTATTGATGCGGGAAAATAATTTAATAAACGTACTTAAAATATTTTGTGGCATTAAAAAATTCAGTATTGGATTGCTTGCATCTTAACATGAAAGCCAAGCAACTGATATCGAAACAAATTATTTTATTTATCATTTTATTATATTTGTGCCTTTGATCCGAATTGCGATTTTGTATGATCGTCTTCAACAATAAATCTGCTGCTACATGCTCCATGAAAACCCTATCAATTTACATTTCAATTAAAGTTGGCAAAAAATTATTGAATGCATCTATCGGTATAGCACATACAAAGAACCTGCACTAAGTTTACGTCGTGGAATTGTAGGACTCGTGAGAGCCTAGCGGGGTGGCGTCTCGCATTCGTGGCAGGATTGCGGAACCGTAACTGGGAACAAGTGACCAGTGAAACAGAAACTTCGGGCTTGGAAAATGTAAAAAAGATATCTACGTTTGTTGTTGTCATCGATACATGACGTTTTTTGTAAAAAAGTAAATGTAAACGTGACCAGCAGGATATTTGCTTACTTTCGTTAGGAAGTTTAAATTTAGCCTATGATGAGCACGGGTATGGTCCTGTCTCTTATACACATCTAGATGTGTATAAGAGACAGAGCCTGACTTTTAAATGGCTTTAACTCAGGCCAGTTCCTTTCAAGATTCTGATCAACCTCACAAATTTCATTGTCTATTCACTTGCATGTTTCTTTCACTTGCATCAAACAATGGTATTCTTCGTATTTTTATTGCGTCTTTCGACAAGAAAGGCAAAGCATTTCTTGAGCAGAACGCATGACTGTCCTACCAAACGTCCTTCCGGCCGNACGAAATTCGGTGCGTGCCAAATTTGGTGCGTGGCTTCATTTATTAAAACTTCGATATACGTAAATTATGGGGCTTTATTAAAATAGCTATATAATGAAGTTATTTTGTTATATGCGCGCACACTGATATGAAATTCGGTGCGTGCCAAATTTGGTGCGTGGCTTCATTTATTAAAACTTCAATATACGTAAGTTATGTGGCTTCATTAAAAAGTTATATAATGAAGTTATTTTGTTGTTTATGATATTTTCATCATTAAGACTTATCAGTTCACGTATTAGCGAGGGTTATATCGCACGCGTTTGCCTATTTAGAAGCTTGAATAAATTAAAATTTTATTAACGTTGGTCGATTTGGGAATTGTAAGCAGGCAAAATTATTTTGCAAACAGTAAGTAGAAAGGTGATTTGAATTAAATCAGCACCAAAGACAATAAAAATTCAGATCTGCACTTAGTTTTTATGCATTTACAAGCCGGTGTTTAAATTTAATTGCCATCTAAAGGTGTCAAAAATTACAGGTGCCTTTGCTGTGATTATTTTTCATGAGATAATCGAAGAATCATTGCCACGTTCGCGACGTTCTGTGCTTCCGGGAGGAGAAAATTGGAGGCAATTGCTGGCTTTCATTGTACCTTAATGAAGTCATGTCAGGCTCTCCCCGCTTCCCTTGGGGCAATTTTACATGACCGAATACAGTGGCAGTAATTGCAAAATTATTAGGATCGTCTTTTCGAATTCAATAATGTACAATTTATTTTTTGTGCTTCTTATTTCATTGAACTTTTTTTCTTGTTATGACAATCGGTTGAATGAAAAAAATACAAAAGTTATTCCTTTATCCAAGTGATAAAATTTTCTAAATAATTCAAGCAAAGGTTGATAATCAGATATATAATTGTTTCGTTTCTATTCAAGGTCTAGAATGATTCTGAACAAACGATGGAGTCACGATACGCTAGCTAGCGCACTTTGTTTAATGGCTGGCATTACGCGAACATGACTCAGACGCTTCTATTCTGGGGCAGCCCTCCGTCTATATGAAGGCGATGCCTAAGCCATGTTCCATTCATCGCCGTACTTGGAGAAGGAATATAAAATTTATTTTCAACACTCTTCTTCTCCAATACCTTTGCCGAAAAGGGTTTCCGTCAAAAATCAACTAAAGCGTGTTTGTTTATTTTTCTATGAGATTTATCGAGCCGAATTAAGGTTAAGGACTAGGACCGAGCCAACCGCCTTGCCCATATCTAAGGGCGCTGGCCTCGATGCGTATATGCTTGCTCGGCCCATCCAAGTTATTGCTTTAAAGTCGTAAGAGTTTGCGTAAGAAGTTGTAAAGATCAGTATAGTAGCCCACTCATGTTGCCTTTGCGGTTGCCGCGATCTTTATGGAGGAGACTCCCCTCCTCGCCCTGATTATAATAGAGCAATTCGTTGGTAGTGTTTAAATTGGGAATTTTATAATTTTTTATGAGGTTTATTATTTGCCAGTTAAGCTTTGCACGAGCTCATATGCAGACGAAAATATTCAAATCAGCAATTAATGCTTATATAGCAGAAGCAGCAAAAATACTATAAGAGGCAGAGCATTTATTAAAGTGACTTAATCTGAAACTTTGTGGTTAAAACCTCGATCAGCTCTTACACGAGACTACATTGAAGTAATTATATTTGCGCGCCATGGACGTTCTAATGAGTCCAGTAGCGTACGGCGCTAAGTATTAGGTTCGGGATGATTTTTCTTTGTAATACATGTTAATGAAAATTGTATACCTTTTAGTTATTTTATTCAACTAAGGCCAGATTACTTGGCCACACGCTCGTAGAGAATAAATCACGAATCCATGCTTAGCAGTGAACCTAATTCAAATTGTAAATCGTTTTACTTGTGATTTCGTTGTCTATTACCTCAGATACTACAATAAAGCTCTTAATTAACAACCAAAGTAAGTTCCTATAGAAAGATCCTTCACCGAGAAGAAAATTAGTGCACGTATCAATCATGTATAAATTTTTTCTCAGTTTCAAATTTTTTAACAAGTCTGCCAAATTTTCACCACAAATAAATTTCCCCACTTGATGGTGCAATCGATGATTAATTTATAATTCTAATACGAACAGCGTTGGTGATCACAAGAATCGGTGTCACAAGGCGTAGCCCACGACAATCCCTTTACCATCAATGTAAACAAATTCTTCTTCGTACCCATAATGCTATTCCTACCTGAAACGTGAATTTAGCTGGGCAGTAGAGAGTGAAGTTGACAAGAGGGCGATCAGAGTTGCTTCCTAATTCAGATCGGCGAGAGATGAGGTGGAGTCTTGCAGTTTCTCAAACGGAGTGGACACCAATATTATCTCTATCAATATTCAATATATCACCAATATTTTCTCTATCGAAGGGTCAAGGGAAACATAATGTCACGTTCTATAGAACCTTCCAACAATGTTATGCCATAATTTAATAAGACATAATTATTGAATATTTATAAAATTATCAATCAATCTTGGATAATCAATGTAAAAATGATAATAATCAATGTGAAACACTTGGATTCCTACGGGACGGTTTACACGCATCTTTGTTAACGATAACAATAAAGTAACGGCATTTGTTAAAGCCCTCTTTTAAGACGCTTTCAGTATTTGGGAACTAAGAAAATGGTAAACAGGGGCAAAAAAAAAAATAAGATGCCTAAAGAAAACTCATAGATCACTTTAAACATCTTTCGAGTGGCCAGAGGGGCCAAATGGCCAACTTCCACACCTCAAAATGTTAATAAATGTTTTCAATAAACCCTTTTTACGGTCTTATCAGATTCCAGGACGTCAAGGTTCATTCATATTCAGAAGTTTAATCAAGAGGGTATTTCGTTGATTACCCAATGACATTAGAATAGGAAAGCAACACAGCAGCAGCATATTCTGCTTAGGACAGAGCTATAACCACAATGACTTCATGACTCACTAATTAAGCAGGAATTGGTGATGAGGATAAATTTTCAGTCGCACATCGGATTGGTTGTCCCCTCCCTTTTTTTGTGCATGGTTTATTAAATAATGGACTTTCAGCCAGGTCATATTATAGACAAAAAAATTTATAACGAAGTCTTTGATAAAATTATTAAATATAATGTTCATGTCGTTAAAAAAACAATGGTTGATGGAATTTATTACCGTGATCCTAACTATGATGTCGTGTGTGCAGATTCCACTACAGTCTTCCGACGAGCTCTCGTCAAGAGCAGCGCGACGAGAAAGGCGAGGTGAAGGGATCGTATTCCTTCGTCGCCCCCGAAGGTGACGAGTTCGACTTCAAGTACGAGGCGGGCAAGAAAGGCTTCCAAGTGAAGAGCAAGGCGCTGCCGACGCTGCCACAAGACACCGACGAAGTCAAGAAGGCAAAACAAGAATTTTTTGAGGCGTACAAAAAGGCCCTCGAGCTCGTCGGCTCCAAGGAAAATGAAGGAAGCAATCACGGCAGAGAAGAGGTAGACGAAGAGGAGGAAGAGGATGATGAGGAGTCCAGTGAAGAGTCCGATGAAGACGATGATGATGAAGAGTCGAGTGAAGAAGATGATGACGATGATGATGAGGAAAGTGAAGAAGACAGCGACGAAGAAGAAGATGAAGAAAAAGAAGAAGGCGATGAAGAAAGCACTCAAGGGGAGGAGCATAATAAGAACGAGGATGAAGAGAAGAAAGGTAAAGGAGAAAAAGGAACTGATGAACGTGAACTTCAATCTAAAGGTTTCGGTAGTAAAGAACCTGTGAAGGTCGCTACAAAGAACCCTTCTCTCACCAAAACCCAAACCAGTAAAACTTCAATCAGCAAGGATTCGAGCAGCAAGACGTCAGTGAACGAGACTCCAGTTAACAAGACTCCCTTCAGTAAGACTTTGGTCAGTAAGACACCTGTCAGCAAGACTGTGGTCAGTAAGACACCTATCAGCAAGACTTTGGTCAGCAAGACACCTGTCAGCAAGACTTTGGTGAGAAAAACGTTGGTTATCGAACCTCAAGCAAATCAGGATTATGGGTCAAGAAAATTCAAGAAGCCACAATTTTTATCTAGCGTCTCCCCGAAAAAAATCGACGACAGTCGAAGTCCTGTGCCTTCCAGTACCACTTTCAAGAGACCGATTTTCATTACAAGCCTTCCACCCAAAAGAAAAACCGCCCGTGAAAGCATAGGGAACTACGGGACAAAAGTCCAGCCCAAAAAAGCCTATTACTACGCTAAGTAGTTTGCTACTTAGCTTAACTGGTAGTGAGGAGATATTGGCGAATGTGAACGTTTTGTAAATATTTTATAGCGGAAATCAACAATAATTTTATTTTGATTGGGATCTTTGAATGCACCGGAGTTAACCTGACAACTCAAACGGAAGTTGGATGGTTGTTGACCATTTAGACTGCCAAGCAGCATTTAACAGCGGATAAAAGAGCACATAAAATAGAATTCAAAATCGAAAAAAATCGAATATCTTTTTAAGTACAGTAACAGGTAAAATAAATAAATTGAATTTCTAGATGATTATGCGGATGTTGATTTTGAGCAACTTTCATTGCTGCGGATTAAGCATATTTATTAGGTAAATTATTTCCTCGTTAGAACGCTTATTCCTTTTTTTGACGTATTGTTATTATGTTATTAAATTTTGACTTATGTTTTTATAATAAAAAAAAAACTATTCGAACAACTATAAGAAGCATGCATGAATATTCCCATTTCTTCATCGCTTTTTAGTTACAATCTACTGTGAAAATGAAATCCAATCCATCTTTTTGAGAAAACTGGAAATGCAAGTTAATGTAAACGTCTTCACAGTTTCCTAACAAACTTACATCATCTTCATCTTATGTGCCATTCTCTCAAAACTTCGCATCATCACAAACCAAGAATCATGGATAGTTAGGAATTNATCATCTTCATCTTATGTGCCATTCTCTCAAAACTTCGCATCATCACAAACCAAGAATCATGGATAGTTAAGAATTATTTCTAAGCATTCACGAAACTTTCGCAATAACTATAAAAATTATTTCATTTATGAACTATAATTCTTTTTATAATCTTGAGAAATTTAGTTGCCTACATTGTGAACTCAAAATAATGTAGTGATGTAATGAAAAAATATAGAGCGTGACAGAGAGCGCATTTTCTCGTCGACAAAAACATGAAGTCACGGACGGACAGACGGACAGACGGACAGACGGACAGACAGACAGACGGACGGACGGACGGACATGGCAAGCACAATAGTGCATTTTTTCCATCAATGAGAAAATGCGCTAAAAAGAGCAATTCATCTTCAATGCCAACAAATTCTTAATTTTTTGCGAAAATTATATTTTTTTTCTCATAAAAACGATTAATTCATCTCAATAAATAAATAAATTAATATATGTCAAATATTTCTCGCTCTATATGCCTGAATTAAATTTCTTCCCATAGAATTACTGAATCTATGAACCGATGATAAATAACACGGGAAGAGAAAGTTTAAAACAAATTTTAGTGCAGTCCATCAATATCCGATAATTTTAAGCGAAAACATTTTTCATACTCCTTTTGTCCCTTTATACTGCATCATCAACATCATCATTATTATTATTAGCATGCGCCCCATCAACCTGTAAACTGTCAGTAATCAAATTACCGTAAGTAATAGAGGACTTAAAATGTTTGGGCTATAGTGGGGGTGACTACTGTAGCTTTCATATACTAACCGCCAATGTTACTGGCCCGTTGGGACCTATAGGCCTATATGCCAGGGGCCATACTTTCAAAATTCGCTAAGTGAACGTAAGTACTTACGCTCTATTTTCTTGTATATGATTGGTGGATTTTGCGAGAAATGCCGTCAATGATTGGCTGATGAACTTACGATCTCTTAACTATTTTTGAAAGTATGGGCCCAGGCCAGTAACATGATAAAAATCAGTGAAGTGATTCAAGTTAAAAAATTTTTAAGGCCGTCAGTAGTAGCCCCACTGTACAGGATCCTTTGATGAAGTAATCCTTTGATCATTTCTTGCCGGTCGTTGAGGTCACCGACTTGAGGAATCACATTATTATAACGTTATTATAACATTAATAACGTGACCAATCACGTTATTTCCAGAAAACAAATGACCGCTTCACCACAGATAAGAGTTTTGCAATCTGCAGCATCATGAGTCGCTCGACGATGCATGAAACATTTTCCTCTCATCCATAGACACATATTCGTCATTTCATGTATTTATAGACGCATTAGGTTCTAAGGTTCAACGATTTCGGTCTAGTTTCCATGAGACACAAATATGTGCTCGAGATGCTTCGCTTATAGACTGAAAAAGTGCAAGCTTCTTCCCTTTATTTATATCGCACGACTGCTGAGAGGTCTTCTTCAAATAAACTTCTTGAGTAATTGTGCATTTTCTTCACCTCTGGGTTTTAAGAGCGGTCAATTTTTTCTTTTTAATAATAAAGAAGCTCTAATAAATGCAATCACATATATTCAGATTTTATTTTATTCTGAGAACTTTTTACTGAACATGAAAATTTTATTTTAAACTATTCACGCTGGATATTGTGTCAGGAATTCTTGAACATTATGCTTAGAGAAATGAACAAGAATCTCTGGGTCATTCTGACCCATTTTGTCCCTGGTAAAAGGGTGCAGAAGGGTACGCACAGCAGCGAAAGCAGGTTTGCCCGCGCGGGCAACCTGCTCCAACCTGCCACAAGAATGAACATATAGGATAATAATGTAAGTGTTCACAGTGAAAACCTGTACGAATAGGCTTCTGTATTCTATGGTTTCAGGCGCCAGCCGGAGCAGGTAACCAGCACGCTGGCAATCTGCTTTCACTGTGTGCGTACCCTTAGGGCTGCGTGAGGAAAGTGTGTCACTTTTTGAACAACATTACCCACCAATTTTTCTGAGTGTGGACAAGAAATTCGTCTTTAGTTCAATTTTTTATCTTATTTTTGATTTTTATTAGTTCATAGAGAGCAAAATACATTTTAACTAAATCTAATTGAAAAGTACAGATATTAATGGTTGATTTTGCAGACCAAAAATTAATTGGTAAGACTTCTTAGATATCAACGAACGCTAATATAGTGGGGTAGGGACAGATGTGCAATAGGTTAGATTTGATACCACTTAACAAGCTACCATCAGGGTAAGTAGGTTGGATTTGATAGGTTGAATTTGATCCCACTTAACATGCTACCATCAGGGTAAGTTGCCAAGAACTGTGAGGTCCGTGCGAGTCATTACCCGATTAGGAAGCCAAATTGGAAATGAAAACCGTCGGGATCAGGGCCTATACGTTCAAAAAAAGTTAAGAGATCGTAAGTTCATTAGCCAATCATTGACGGCCTTTCAAGCAAAATCCACCAATCATAGACAAGAAAATAGAGTGTAAGTACTTACGTTCACTTAGCGAGTTTTGAAAGTATGGCTCCTGGACTTTTATTACAGTGGAAATTTACAGCAAGATAGTCTTGAAATATAAACTATAAATACAGGAATAATATTGTTAAAAATACTCTTGGCAACGTAAGCACCTGCTAGGAGAATCGGCCTATAATTACTAATGACGAAGATGAAAACGTCATAAACTTCCCAAAAAGTTTGCCAAAGTTAAAAGAAAAAGAATAATTTATTCGAAAATAAAATTTGTAAATTATGGTAAACTAGAGAACCATTCTTGCCTGGGCTCTCCGTTTTATTGATCCCAATTGTAACCACTTAGTTGAGCAAAAACCAAGTCAATTCAGACATTCGCAAAGCACATAAATCTCATGAAATTTGTTGATATACAATAAACTTTAGACGAAAGAAGATTGCATTTTAAATTAAGTTGGCGATTGCTAAATCAAATCAGCGAGTTGCAATAAGCTGAAGTCGGAAATTTTTTTAGAATATCGTCTATATATTGTGATAAATTAACGAAATTAGTCAATAATTTGATATCTGGTGTGGCAGCTCCCTAGACTTTTGCAGAGGTCACCGCATCTCGGCAGAAAACGATGTCCTTGAAACTAACGGAGGCGTGCTGCGTGGCCACAAAATTAGTTGTATAGGGCGAATTTTCGGCTGCCGTAATTAAATTGAAAAAATCGAATATTATTGCATAAATTTCCCAAACTCTATTAATATTCTTTTTAGGTCTAGATATCATAATGAAAATCTGTTATGGCTTGCGGATTAAAGGTTTATAGCGGCGAGTTCTGTACAAATATATCGGAAGCACTTTAAGTAAAATCAGATCACAAGCAGGGCCTATACATTAAAAAAAAAGTTAAGAGATCGTAAGTTCATCAGCCAATCATTGACGGCCTTTCGAGCAAAATCCACCAATCATAGACAAGAAAATAGAGCGTAAGTACTTACGTTCACTTAGCGAGTTTTGAAAGTATGGCCCCTGGACTGCAGACGGGAGTTAACGAAACTCTGCTGTGTAAAGTATATTCGATTTGGTGAGGAGGTCGCACCAGGAGAAATAACGAATAGTTATAATATTAATATCATAATACGAATTGAAGAAATATCAATATTTAAGTAAACTATTTGTTGGAAATTGGATTAATCTCGTGAAAGCTGTTCAGGATCTTACCCCGTAGAGTGGCAGACAAGGCTGAATACAGTTAAGAGATAACTAAACTAAAGAAAAAAATACGACAATTTAGAAGAAATTATGATGGATTACAACAAGTTTCATATTTCAGAAAAATTGATAAAACAGATGTACTTTTGCTTACAATATTAAAGGTGCGTATCGGTGCTCCCAACAGATTCATAAAAATAAATGATGCTTGGACATATTTCCAGATGAATAATTTACTAATACAGAGCCAGCGAGGCACGTTTGGGTCCAGACAGGTTATTCACTTTACATAAGAAGGCCTTCAGGACTTGGTAGCTATTGAACTCGTCAGCTTTCCTTCCTGAATTTCGATCCTCGCACTGAAGTCAAAAAGAAAAAAAAAATTAAAACAAGCAATTGTGTGGGCTTACGATGGCTGTCCTCATTTGCATCGACCAAATCTTTTCTTTCAATAGAGCTGATACTTCGCCTTGCAATAGAAAAGGAGCATATCTTCCGAGAAAAAACTGAATTGGGCAAATCTTTTCTTTCAATTGAGCTGATACTTACGTATAATAGAAAAGGAGCATATCTTCCGAGAAAAAACTGAATTGGGCAAATCTTTTCTTTCAATTGAGCTGATACTTACAATAGAAAAGGA